TCAATGCGAGCAGCTTACGGCATTGGTAACATTTATTTAACTTCCTTCACCAACTGCAAACAACAATCACTCGCTAGCAGGACCATCAGTGGCTCCATTTTTCTTGGTTTGGTTAGGAACAAGCTGATGATGAGTTTGACTTCCTGGCATATGTCAGTAACAAAATAGTATAAGTAGTATAAAAGCTTTAAATAAACAAACCTATATAAAACACTTCAACAGATTGTAATTTTCAGAATCACTAAATGCAACATCAATGAATTCCATCCTGGAAAAGTTAAAAAGCAATGACTCGGAAACTTGGCAAAAATATGTGGAATATAATACGGTCAAATGGGGTGTTGGTCTGCCACAGGGCATTTTCAGGTTAATCGAATTTCGATGCTCACAGTTTTGTTAACATCTGCTGCTATAGTCCGGATTATCTTGATTTTTGATATATCTAGTAAGATTATTTGAAAATTTCATATTCCAATGGATTAGGTAAATTTGCGTTCTGTATTTCATCTCTTAGCTTTAAACACAAACAGAGTACGGATGCGATTAGAGATGAGCCTCCTACTCGCCATATAAGCAAAAGACAGATTCAAATAAGCAGGACAAGGGAAACAAAAGAGAATAAAAGTATATCAGAAGTCTTTTTTGTAATTACTGACCTTTTTGATCAAAGGATTTCTACGGTCTTTCTAAACAAATGTAAATACAAAATGTGTATGACTTCCAGGTTAGTGAAAGGGATATGGTTTTTAGGGTACTTTTTAGGTTGTCATTTCAGTTCCCGTGATTTTTGTTCGAAATTTGCTCCGAATTTTATCTTCGAAAGAACTTATTTTTGAATCATTTGCTCGAATATGACTCATTTCCATATTTTGGAGCTAGGACGTTACTAAGCTCATGTTTGGATTAGCCCGAAAGTGGGAGATGGGAAGGGGGGAGAGGCTGTATTTTATTTCGAGCTGATTTTCAGGGCTTTTGGCAAAATTTCCGTCTCCATGGCTAAATTTTTGAATAAATTTTTTTTATTTGCCAAAGTTAAGTTTTGCGTTCTCTAGCTGTTTTCCGCATTTTTTATGCGTTTTTTGCAGCAATGCAATGCGAAAAACGCATATTGATGAGAGGTTGCCTGTGTGCGTGTGTCTGTGTGTCCGCGTGTGCGTCTGTCACGGTTTTTCATTTCAAGACCTACAAAAGCTACGGAGCTGAAACCTTTGGGGACTTAATCTACATGCACTTACGGGCCCCCTTCCCCAAAATTGGCGCCATACCCTGCATGGTACCCGCGTATGGGCCCGCCAAAGTCTTTTTCGAGTTAGTTCATAACTCGGGGATATGAAAAGCTAGAAAGCCGAAATATTAAGGGAATGTTCTCCGTCCAAGTAGGTACTAATGGGCTCAAATCCAGCCCCCGGGTAAGCGTGGTGCCCGCGTACGAGCCCCCCAAAATTTTCCCGCGTAAATTCATAACTCCGGATCCTGAGGTGCTGGAAAGCTGAAATTTTAGGGCAATGTTCTCCGTCCAACTAGGCATTAATGCACCCATACCCATCCCCCAGGTAAGCGTGGTACCCGCGTACAAGCCAGCCAAAATTTTTTTCGGATAAGTCCATAACTCGGGGATCTGAGAAGCTGGAGAGACGAAATCTTAGGGGGTGTTCCCTGTCCATGTGGGTATTAATTAGTTCAAACCCTGCCTGCGGGTAAGCGTGTTATCTACGTACAGGCCCGTGAAAAGTTTCTTCCGGAACTTTAAGTTACTTACTCGAGAACGTGAGAAGTTAGAAGACTGGATTTTTGAGGGGATGTTTCCTGATAGTTCTGGCGGCCAGTCTGAAATTCTTTCAGCTGGAGGCATCTGCCGAAAAAACCGATGCCGGTAGCGACAAAAACTGCGGGGAACTCTGCAAAAAAGCATCTTCGCACGGGCAGCCCGTGCGTTGGCCAATTATCTTAAGACGCTGATGTTCCAGAACTGAAGCTCTTTCCTGGTTGCGGCTTATTATGATATTGTTCAAAAATAGTTGTTTTTTCTCTTCTGTATTTTCAATACACAAAATCCGCCAACAGCTTACGCATCCTGCACCGAAAGTCCTAGGATTTTCCGGAACGTTTTTCCTGCAGTGCCAGAAGTTACTGCTTTAGACTTCTGACTGCACTGAGGCCTCTCAGCGGAACTCTTTCCAGAAATTAATTTCTGGTTGTAACATGTTTTTGCAGAGCGGCGCAATTATGCTCCATTGAATATCCGGATCTGGTCGCCTACAACGCCTGCATGCCAGCTGGTCCATGGCCAGGTATTGCGTTTCAA